ATTTAGATCTGTTAGGGTAAGAAATTAATTATATCTGAAGATATGCCAACATTATGAGTTTCATATTCAGTAAACAGTATAAATACAAACCTTCAGATACGGTGACATGCAAAAATTTACAACACATTATAAACAAATGTCTCTTTAGGTCTTTCTATCACAGATTAATGAAACTTTTACTACCAATAACACATTTATTTAAGCCTTTAATCCATGCATTTATTAAACCACCTATTAATATTTCGTAGCGTAACCGTTATTGCTAATTAAAACATGTAGGCGTTTAAAGTAGTCTCCGAAGAATTTCTTACATGCTAATATTTTTTTTCATTTTTCACAACAAAATTCCTCTAGTTCATGCAGGTTTTGCCGGTTGAATTCTCAATTTCAGATCTCTCCATGAATTTTCAATCGGTTTGAGATCTGGAAATTGACTTGGCCCTCTTAGAACGTCATTCTATTTGAACTTAGCCAGGATATTGTAAGCTTTGCACTATGAAAGACCCGACTTGGTTTCAAACCCAGCGAATATGTACTCTGACAAACTTACCTTATGATATGTTTCATTTATCCTCACTTCTGTTATTTTAATTTTCCCTACACCTTGGGCACTAAAGCAATACAAAACTATTATTGATGCGTCTCCAAATTTTACTGTTGGAATGCTAGTCCTGGCGGAATATACAATACACTACGCTCTCCAGACCTTTGCCACAGAAATTTTCCAAAAAGTCAGAAATTCGTTTCGTCTGATCAAAGTACATTTTCCCAAACTGCTGCATGTACGATACAATTATCGTCTGCAAAATCCTGTCTAGCAAGAAAGTGTTTTCTCTTAAGAAGTGCTTTTTTTTGGCGTCCTCGAAAAGTTATATCGACGGAGTGAACGACAAATTCTGCCTGTACTCACTTTTACTCCACTTTCTTCTCGTCCTCCCTGAAGATTAACTCGAGGCTCGTTGCCAATTTTTCTCGCCAATAATATTGCCGTACGTTCCGTTACCTTTCTAGGACGAATACAGCTTTTTTTTTGGGGGGGGGGAGAATGGAACGATACGTCTTCCAATGACGAACTACTGTAAAAACTGAACTCAATAGCACATTTAACTGACTAGATATCTTCCTAAAACCAACTCTATTTTTATGAAGGTCAACCATACTTTTATGGGGCTTTTGATAAATTATTTTGCTTTTCTCCATTTTGTTAAGGTTTAAACGACGGTTGACAGAAGAAGTATGACGTAATACATTTAATCATTACTAAAAGTAAACAAACAATAATCTGGAACTTTCTAAAATAAATCAAACCCGTCCTAATTTTGAATTTTCTAGTAGAATGTGAACACTTTTATGAAAAAAGCTCTTGTAGATAAAAAAAAAATATGATGTAAACTTTTGAGTTACTAAGTGTCAGTTTTTCTTTGAAGGATAATTTTTGAAGATTTTAAAATAATCTGATTATTTGAATGAATACCTAAACTATGTTCTACGAACAGTAAAAGTTTAATTAATGTAACTGTAGTAGAAATAACTAAAAACGTTTTTTTTTGTAATGTGTTGCAAACTTTTACATGGTACTCTATCTAATCATAGTAAAGCCTTTAAACAACATAAGTACCATAACATCTACATGGCTTTTATGAAAGTTAACAGCATCAGAGCCAAAGAAGTTTTAAAGATAAACTTGCTAAATATGAGGAGCTGGAAACGGAATTTGATAGAATATGGCATTTAAACACAATATATATTCCGATTATACTAGGATCAACAGGTTTGCTTAAACATAACCCTGATAAATATATATATATAATGAGAGGATAGGAAGAAACCTGTCAATGCATGCGATATAAAAACTTATGATCATGAGCACCGCTAAGACACTTAGAAAAATCTATCAATGTATGAAGCTATGTCAGAAATCATCCGTACTTTCCCCGTAACATATTTTAGGTTTGTTCCACGACTTTCTGTTCATGTGTTCATATATATTTATGTGACCTAAGGTAGCTGTTAATAATTAAGTATTACTCAAGTCTTCAGTGTTAAAGAAAACAGTATTTAATTACAACCGCAAATAAATACATAACAAGAACAAAGAAGTAAAATCCAACCAAAGATAATTAACCATTTCAGTGAATAACTTGTTAGAAGCGTGGCTCGGCTTAGCGTCCAGTAAATCCTAAATCACATTCCAAATCATTGACGCACAATAATTCACACTAATTTAAATGGATAATTCCACTCAATAGTCACTCAGGAATAACATGCAGTCAGTAGCCTGACGCCGCTATTTATACACCTGGCGGGAAACATATATTCATAAGTCCAGAGAGTCACGCTCAACTCACGATGTCGATAGTTACTCATTTTCTTCCTAGATTACAGTATTATACTATTGTGGTCAGACGATCAGTGTTTGAGCTTGATCGCGCGTGTTTTCCTTCTGCTGTCACAGAATAAGCCTGCCCACTGCGTTGACAGTGGGTATCAAGGTAGAACAAAGAGCCTTGTTCCAATATCTCTGGTCGGTATGTATGTCCGTTGCTGAAATTGACCTGAGGATTTTAACATAATCCGACGACAATTAACTTCCCTGTATAAGTGTGTATGAGTAGATTGAAAAGTTTAAAAGTAGCCAAGGAAACAAACGTCACAGAATGAAGAAGCAGGACGCCAGCCAACCTTCACTAGTGACGAGAATATTCAACAATTACGTGATAATAAAATGGCCAACCGATAGTATGTTCACTTCATATTCAGATCCCTGCTTTAAGTTCTCCCTGAGTGAACACTGCTATTGAAACGGCCATGTTTATACTGTAACAGATGCGATCAAGCTCAAACTATGTTCGTGTGACCACAGTATTACCAACTATAAAGACGCACGTGCAGTAGGCAGAGTGACTGTGTGATATGTTATTGCGAAAGTGATGATAATTCTTTTTTTTTAATTACCCTCTTAATATAGTCAAACAATTTCATACAATATATCACTTATAACTGGTCTCAAGGAAAATACTTTTTAAACGATTGTATCAAATATTGAATATAGAATATAATATTGATGATCGACAACAATACCAATAAGCAAGCAAAAAAAAAGAGGTATGGAGATCTGCCAAATTAAATTGGATAAATGTACCAAGTAGCATTTCAATCTTTTCATATTGTTTTTGCTGCACTCGGGATTATTTCCAGGAAAAGTTCTGCCAAGTAGGCGCCGTTGTGATATCTGAGAGCATTGGAAGTGTGCACCGGCAGCCCTGCTTTAAACAGATCACATGCAGGGAAAAGTGATGTGCCTCTAAACTACTGGTAAGAGATGAAATATAATAATCATCCTTCGAGCGAAACATGAACAGGATAGAATATTAAACAAATCAAATAATAATAATAATAATAATAATAATGAAATGTCAAAACAAAAATATTAATTGTTGCCGAAGTCACTCTGGGAATTATATCGAAAGGGTCAAAAATATATGGATTAAATTGTTAGTAATCCTAAAAGATGTTAATTATTTTAAAAAAAATCATGCTGATAGTTATTGCCATATTTTGCATCAAGCCTACAATATTTTTCTCTTCCGTTTGCACCTCATCATACAAAAGATTATTGTTTAGACACCTTTTGTTGAAACGTGTTGGGTACTCGTAATACACAAAACAAAGGTAAATAATAATAATAATAATAATAACAATAACAACAATAACAACAATAATAATAATAATAATAGGAGACACAATCATTCAGAGTTACCCAAAATATTAATGTGACTATCTTCTGAGACATGCCAATTCACAGCCACCATACCTGATATTATCATAAAAGACAAGAAATTAAGGAAGTGTGTGCTTACTCACATGAGCATTTGAGAGAAAAAACCTCCATGTGAATTATCGAGAAATTATTCAAATACAAGGGTCTGAGATCGAGAATAACCGGGAATGAAGACTGAAACTGTACTAATAGTGATCAGATCCCTGGGCGTATTGAGAAAAGCAATGGACAATTTTACTAAAGGTGTCCCAGGTAACACCAACGTACAAGTTGCCCAGAAGTTCGGCTCATGGGGAACATATTCTAAGTAATAATAATTAAATAACAATTCTCCTATATGACCTAAGGACAATAGTTCGGCCCCAGCTATACACGATACAAAAGAATGAAACATAACATATAATAATAATAATAATAATAATAATAATAATAATAATAATAATAATAATAATAAACGAAAAAACTACAAAAATGATATTTCTAAAGAGACTTATTGTTACATGAACTCGATTAAAACGACCAGATCATATTTTGTGATATCTATGAACCATCAAGCTTTAGAACATTTTGTTCAACACGGACTATTTTTTGTATTCCGTTTAAATTTCCTTAAGTACATGGAAAAGTTAATCGAATATCTTTCCTTGTGGGATTGTCCATGGATATATATGCCTTTTACAATACCTGTTACTAAATTTGAACATACCTACCATTCTATCTAACCGTTTCAGGCGCTGAGTTGGCGAGAAGATATAAATTAATTATTTTCCTAAGATAAATTACTGCGAAGTGGTCACATCACACTAATACACTCTTTCTCTAATTAAAAAAAAAACAATGTTAATTTCATTACCTTTCGATTTATCCTAATTAGTTATATTTATAATTTAAAATACTATTGTATAAGGGAACAAAGAAAAGTATTAAACTACTTTTGTCTCAATAATTCCATAACATGTTTTATATTGTATTTTGCTCAATGCTAATTTCTTTGATTGTTTTTAACGGTTTAGCAACGTTTTAAGTTTTGTATTGAAAGACTGTTTTAGCTATAATAATGATTTCCCGATATAATTCCAATTTTTAATCCATATCTGGGAGGTTATGAGGTGGATTCATACATTCCCCAATTGTACTTGCATATCAGCTGATATAACCAAACCGACTGGAATTCGAGATCAATTCTTCGATTTTACATTAAACTACACGCAAATATAAGCTTACAACACCTGACATTTCCGAGCGGTCACCAATCTCAGTATTGGCCAGGTTCGATGTTGCTTAACTTCACTGAATGGAAGAGAACCAGTGTTTCAACTTGGTATGGCCGGAAACCGAAAATACAAGGATTAGAGTTAAACTGACTAGGCTTACTGTTTAGAGGATTATGAAGGATATGCTGTAATATAATTCGAAGTGATGTGGTAAGATTATTAGTATAAGAAGAATAAATAATAATTGAATCTTGACTTGAAGAGGTGAAGATTATAATTTCTAGGGAAACCTCCATAGAGAATTATCTTCCAAAATATAGGATGATTTGACTCAAAGGAAGTAGGAATAAAGTTGTGGGACTACAGAAGGTTAACTGAAAATGTTTCTATGGAAATAGTAACAATAATTTAGGAAGATTGCATTACAATAAAAATTATATATTGTCTTATTAAACTATTACCACTATTGCGATTTTTGCTTTTTAAAACGCTTCCATAGATGGGCTGCATTCATTTCTCTTCCTCAGATATAACTTAAAATATTCATATATTTTCTTTTGTTTGGGAAGACACAGGTTATATATATATATATATATATATATATATATATATATATATATATATATATATATATATATATATATATATATATATATATATATTGTGTGTGAAAAGATATTTGACACATTGCATTTAAAAGAGGTTGAGAATATTCTTCCAAATATGTCGTGGCCTGATGACAAATATTCACCTCAGAAAATCTGGCAAAAATAAGCAAAGCCATTAATGAAAGCGTTGATGAACAAATCGATGGCAGCAATGGTAATTAAATTGAATTTGACAGTCTTATTGGAGGAATTACACGTAATCATTGTTCTTTAGCGTGACACCAGACCGTTCAGCAAGACAATGTTCTATGGTCGAGTTGCACTGTTTCCGTGTCTCGTTAGATTTGTTTCTCGCGTGCATAATCTTATGTTTCCTAGTGAAAAGCCTTTCTTTCTACTTAAACAATGTCCATATGTATTCAGAAGGGAAAAGCTTTGTCATGTCCTCTTTGTTCGTGCACAATTTTCCCTCGTTTGTTATACAAAATCCCCTTGTTTATGACATGCAATATCCGAGGTATCTTCCTGGTTCAAGAGTTCATGGTTTTTTGCACATGAAAATTCATGTCACGCTTCAGAATAATGAAAGGCTCAAAGAGTCGGGAAATTATGTCTTCTAAAAAAGAGTGTTAAATAATGTGGTATAGTTCAATGTGACTTTCTATAACAAACACACACATTATATATATATATATATATATGTGTGTGTGTGTGTGTGTGTGTGTGTGTGTGTGTGTGTGTGTGTGTGTGTGCATGGGTCTCTCTCTCTGTTTGTGTGTGTGTGTGTGTGCGTGATGGAAATAAATTAATAAAACATGCTCTGTTAACTTTTCATGCGTTCGACTATGATTTATATTCACTGTTATATTTTAAAATTAAATTATTTATACAATAACGGTAAAAAGAAAAAACTGAAAATGACCAGTTTACTTTTCTCATATAAGAACTCATCGTGATATTCAAATTGATTCGTTTGAGTTTCACCACACCTTGAATATGCTCACAAAAGCCCTAATGGTCTGCGCCTTTAGCCACAAGAGATATCAACATCATCTTCCCATTTCCCCAAAGCTCAAGAATATTCATCGAGTCATCAGGAGGAACCATGAACGTCTTCATGACGACTGACCTCTCCAGAGAAGAGCGGATGACTGCTCCACACTGAAATAACAGTTGGACACATGTATACAAGGATAACAATCTAATAGGGAGGCTATCCAATCCCTATTGCAAACGCTCGCTCAGGCATATTTTTGCAACATCCAGAGAGCCCACCTGTGGTTCACAACGAAATACTACAACAGCAATTCGCAGATATTCGTCGATACTTTTCAACGTATTTATTCTCGTGTTAGCTAAATTAATTCATTTTAATATAGGTATACGCACGAGATCGCTAAAAAAGCGTATAGTCTGATGAAAAAAGACGTCAAACTTGACGAAAAACAAAATTTTATCGCCAAAATGTCTATGTTACGAGTAAGAGTAAAGAACAAAGTAATTTTAATTATTTTTTCAAAATTTTCTGTCTTTATTACAACATTCTAACTTTCGATTGAAAAAACCTTGTTTTCGTCATCACCGGAACTCTAGTAAATAACATGGCGACTTTTTTGTGCATTTTTTTCTTATGACACACATTAATTTTGAAAATCTTGAAAAAATAGAAATAATTGTCAGATTTTAATGAAACTTTCAGAAACTATTCAGAAATGATGGAAATTATTATAAATATGTTATTTTTTTTTAAAGTCATTATAAAAATATATTTTTATACATATATTACCACCCCATAAATGAATTAAAGAAAACTGTAAAAGTTTATGGACGAAGCAGGGAAGTCATTATATTAATAAAAACACAAGGCTTTGAGGAAAGTAAATCAGGTTTTCTTTTTAAAAAATCCGAACACGTAAACGCGAAAATCAGCTCTGAATTGTAACATACAAAACCCAATAAAACAAAAAATACCATTTAATTTTAAATGCTTTTAGTTGCTTTTATTTGTTTTATCAATATGCATAATATTGTCTGAAGGCAAAAAACTTTTTTTGATGAAAAATGAATTTTAAATGAATTAATTGTTATTTAATAAATTATTTTATTATTTTTACATAAAGTTACTAAAAAGTTACTAAAGTTGTTAAATATTCTAAAATTAGCGGTACTGACGAATCCTGTATATAATGCTATTTTTAGGTACCTATATCTGTACAGATTATAAATAGTACAAGGTTTTTACAATCAACGAAAAAAAGCAATGAGAATAATCTTACTGTCCTTTAACCTATGTGTAAAAAAAAAAATCTTAAATCAAATGTACGGAGGCCCGGAAGAAACATGATCCAATAAAAACATCACGTGACTTGATTTGTACGGCACTGTTAACGGCCTTTATGTTTATATAAAATTACTTTAAAAAATTTATAATAATTTCCATCATTCCTGAAAGTTTCTTTAAAATCGACAATTATTTCTACTTTTGCAAGATTTTTCAAAATTAATGTCATAAGAAAAAAATGAACAAAAAATTTGCCATGTTATTTACTAAAGTTCCGGTGATGACGAGAAACGAGATTTTTCAATCAAAAGTTAAAACGTTCTAATAAAGACAGAAAATTATTTAAAAATAATGAAAAATTACTTTGTTCTCTCCCCTTAATAGTAACATAAACATTTTGGTAATAAAATTCTGATTTCGTCAAGTTTAAGGCCGTTTTTTCATGGTATGACTACTTAAAAATAACGAGGTAAATAAGTTGTTAACGTAAAGATAAATTGTCACTTACGACCTTCCGTACTATAAATTTCCGCACGTAATATGTCAGTGCGTGATGAAAAACACGCACTTGTCATTTGTCAATCAACACCGCAGTTCAGATCGGCTTTCTCCCATTTGAAAAAAACATGTTTTCATCACAGAAAATAAGCAATCTTTGTTTCAAAATATACTAAATAAACTTTCTAATTTCTAATTTTTTAAAAATTAGTTAAAAAAAAATCATAATTGATTTTTTAAATAAATTTTAAACGGCAACATTCACTTTTGTAAACAAACATCAAAAACAACGGGAGACTATCGATCATCTGTCGATTTTTCCGATTCAAAAAAATTGAAGATTTTTAACGAAAATTTTGGACGTGCTAGAAATTATTAAAAAATTTTAAAAAATATTCAAAAAATAGTTTGATCATTCCTCTTGATAATAACATTAACATTTATACGATAAAAAATTATTTTAATCAAATTTAAGGCCTTTTTATTCATGGTATGCTATTTTTTTATCGATCTCATGCACATACCTATTTTAATATATCTTACGGAGAAATCAGAGACTTAAAAAAGGTTAAAAATAAAGCCTCGTCATAATGACCATTAGTGCTGGCCCGAAATATTTAATAAAATAACAATTCCAGTGAAGCAGGTGGATTATTTTTTCGTTACACTAGTAATTATAAAAATTGTTTTAATTTACATGTTTGATGATACCTTGATAGGAATAATCCTACATCACTTATAGCAACTATTAGCGCAATCAAATATCATTCTTTTATGTCTACATGTCACATTTGTTTCTATTGCAAATAAAGTTTTTCTCTTTCTTATTTGCGATAAATATCGAGCATTTTTGTCGTTTATTTCATTCGTAGTTTTTATTTATAAAGTTAACCGCAATATCTGACTTGGTGTTTCCTGTACACAATGATAGGAAGTTCTTGATAATACATTTTGATGTTGCTCCGTTTTTTATTACTAGTATTATCGTTCAGTATACGTTCACGATCGCATGTTTCAAGTTACATGTTTTTTCCATATATATATATATATATATATATATATATATATATATATATGGACTCGAAAACTCGACACATGTATCTAGCAAAGATTACATTAATGCATAAGTTTAAAAAAATTCCATCAGCAAAAATGAAACACTATAATAACTCCCGAAAGCCGAAACCTCTCAGATGCCATTAGATAATTCAAGTTTTAATTTTCCTCAGAAACCAAGTAGTGGTGCGTAAAGCAAAAAAATGAAATTAAACAACGTTACAAAGTTACATAAAAAGAAAACACACACATACATATTGGTAACTGATAGGGAATACAAACAAGGAGGACAATAAGCAAAAGAGAGCTCAATGAATGTAAAAGAGAAATATAATAATAATTTTAAATAAAGAATATATATAAAAATTTATTTCATGTATAATGTATATCATGAACTTATTTAAATATCCATTTCTTCAGACTGAAGAAATCAAAATAACTCGTCGAGACAAAAGAAAAACTGAAGACGAAAAATACTCTTAGATATTTCACTTTTAATCTCCCTATCAAGACATTTAAGCAAAGACATAAAGAATTATCGAACTCCCATTTATATTAATGTTAACTCTAATCACTCTATATCAACAATTGGACAAATCCCTAACAATTTAAATAGAAGAATTAATAACTTATCATCTAACAAAATAATTTTCAGTGAGAATAAACAGATTACAT